TGCTGCATCAGACAGACTCTTGCATCAGACAGACTCCTGCATCAGACAGACTCTTGCATCAGACAGACTCCTGCATCAGACAAACTCCTGCATCAGACAAACTCCTGCATCAGACAGACTCCTGCATCAGACAGACTCCTGCATCAGACAAACTCCTGCATCAGACAAACTGCTGCATCAGACAGACTCTTGCATCAGACAGACTCCTGCATCAGACAGACTCCTGCATCAGACAGACTCCTGCATCAGACAGACTGCTGCATCAGACAGACTTCTGCATCAGACAGACTTCTGCATCAGACAGACTCCTGCATCAGACAGACTCCTGCATCAGACAGACTCCTGCATCAGACAGACTCCTGCATCAGACAGACTCCTGCATCAGACAGACTCCTGCATCAGACAGACTCCTGCATCAGACAGACTCCTGCATCAGACAGACTCCTGCATCAGACAGACTCCTGCATCAGACAGACTCCTGCATCAGACAGACTCCTGCATCAGACAGACATCAGACACACTCCTGCATCAGACAGACATCAGACAGACTCCTGCATCAGACAGACTCCTGCATCAGACAGACATCAGACAGACTCCTGCACCAGACAGACTCAGACAGACAGACTCCTGCATCAGACAGACTCCTGCATCAGACAGACTCTTGCATCAGACAGACTCCTGCATCAGACAGACTCTTGCATCAGACAGACTCCTGCATCAGACAGACTCAGACAGACAGACTCAGACAGACTCAAGCCATTTATGGCTTTTTCTAATGCTACAGTGGTCACAGCTAAAAGAAAAACTATAATTAAAGTCGGTCACTCAAAATAATCGCACAATAAAAGGAATAACAGCGTTAATATTGATTTGCGATAACATGTTAAGGTGCAACATTTTTGGCAGCTCTAATATATATTTATATATATATACATTAAATGAATATCAAAGATCCTCTGGGGTCAGAGAGGATCACTCCACAGTCTTCTCTAAAGTATTTAGCAGCAGTATCTAATACACAGTGGCTCAGCACTCATGCTTCCTGTCCCTCGGCTCCACACTCCAGGGGCCACTGGGATAATCCTAATCCCGTTTTAAAGCCGCTGTAATGGAGAGGCCCTTCCCTGGGGGCCCCACACTTCACCTTCACATCACAGACACACCGGAGACTAACGGCTCATTACACGCCGTGTGTACCTTTGGACCTTTGGCTTTAAACAAGACATTTATACAGAGCTGAGGTCACAGCCCTAACACCATTTCTACAGGATCTGATTCAGTGACACAACAATCAATACATCCATCTGATCAAGGAGTAATCTGAGGTATGTGTGTTACTAAACATCAAAATTCCAAAGTGTATGTTTATACATATATTTACTTTATATCAGTTCAGTTTTCCGTCTCTCTTCAGCTTCATGCAGCTGTACACTGTCTCCTTCTTCTCAAATATCAAATGAGATTTCTAGCAGCCCTTACCTCTTGAAATCTCACAACAACAATAAAAAATGAGTCAGATTGAACAGTGTTCTGATATAAATGGCAGAGCCAAAGATGCGCTCGGTTTGACCGGTCACCTGGTGTGCCCCTCGAGCTGCTGGTTTGTAGAGGGGACAGGGCGAGTGTGGCGGACCAGTGAGTCCGCAGCGAGAATCGTGAGTTCCAAGTGTTCCAAGTATTCCATTTACCGCACCGTGGTCTGTTTCAGAGTGACAGAGTGGCAGCTCGCCTTAGTAACAGGGGAGCGCCATGACTCTGTCGCACAAACAGCACTGATCTGTTTCTGATGTTGTAAAATATTGCCACACGACCGCTTCCATCTTCTTTGTTTCTTCTACTAAGAAAAGTGCGTAGACGCCCTCTACTGGTGTCTCCTAGCACGTGCCTACCATCTACAAGTGACATTTTTTGTTACCAATGGTAGTTAACAACGCAAGCATCGGCTGATATTGATGTTCAGTCGATGCACCGGTGCATACCTAGTAAATACAGACATACATATCAAAGTGTGCTATGCTCTCCCTCCACGGCGGTTATCCCTCTCTCAGCTTGGTCCTGGAGCTTGAAGGTTCTGTGCAGTATCTTTGCTGTTCATGCTCTACACATTTCTGGACTGACCTTCCCGAGGTTGTTCAAGGGATCTGCTGTAACCTCCTCCAGATTGGGGTCACTGCCCCAAGTGCACCATCGCCACGGGTTCTTTACGTACAGTCTCAGGGTCTGGATTTGGGTTGGAACCCACTGTGCATGGTGAGGGGCTTTTGAGTTGTAACATCTGTATCTGAATCTCTTCCTTTGGCCCCTGATTATGCCCGGGCCTTGTTCTTGCAGTGAGTCGACTTCCTCCAGAATACCTCCAGAGAGTAAGGCAGGTCCTACACCTGCCTTACTCTCTGGAGGTATTTAGTCGTTGCCTGTTTGAGGTTTCCATTAGCCCTTGGTATACTGAGATACTGCGGTATACTGAGATACTGCAGTATACTGAGATACTGTGGTATACTGAGATACTGTGGTATACTGAGATACTGCGGTATACTGAGATACTGCAGTATACTGAGATACTGTGGTATACTGAGATACTGCGGTATACTGAGATACTGCGGTATACTGAGATACTGCGGTATACTGAGATACAGCTGGTTCATTTGTGCTGCTAGGCGCTCATGGACCATTTGAGTGTCCTCAGCCTGTAGCATGGACCACATTATGGACCATGTGAGTGTCCTTAGCCAGTAGCATGGACCATATCATGGACCATGTGAGTGTCCTTAGCCTGTAGCATGGACCATATCATGGACCATGTGAGTGTCCTTAGCCAGTAGCATGGACCATATCATGGACCATGTGAGTGTTCTTAGCCTGTAGCATGGACCATATCATGGACCATGTGAGTGTCCTTAGCCAGTAGCATGGACCATATCATGGACCATGTGAGTGTCCTTAGCCTGTAGCATGGACCATATCATGGACCATGTGAGTGTCCTTAGCCTGTAGCATGGACCATATCATGGACCATGTGAGTGTCCTCAGCCTGTAGCATGGACCATATTCAATCAATCAATCAAAGTTTATTTGTAGAGCGCCTTTCATACACAGGGCAACACAAAGCGCTTCACAGTCCACATCACAAATCATCACATAAAACAAACACCAGAATCACAATTAAAACATTAAAATCACACAAAAGATTAAAACACAATTAAAACATTAAAATCACACAAAAGAATAAAACCATTAAAACTTTCAAAATTACACAAGAAATTTAAAAAAATAAATAAATGACAGCAGTGCATTAAAAATGGAGATAAAATCCTTCAGTTGTATGCACAGGCAAACAGAACAGTCTTTAACCTGGATTTGAACATTGACAGAGTAGACGCCTCCCTCACATTTTCAGGGAGATTGTTCCAGATCTTAGCTGCATGGATCTGAAACGCAGCCTCCCCATGTTTGGTTCTCACTCTGGGCACCAGCAGGAGGCCAGTCCCTGTGCTCCTCAGAGTCCGGGCCGGTTCATATGACACCAACATGTCACTAATGTATTCTGGTGCAAGGCCATGGAGAGACTTGTACACAAGCAGAGCCGTTTTAAAATCTATTCTTTGAGCCACAGGAAGCCAGTGCAGAGACCTGAGGACCGGACTAATATGGTCATACTTCCTGGTTCCTGTCAGGACTCTAGCTGCTGCATTTTGGATGTACTGCAGCTGCTCACAGGTCTGTTTGGACAGACCTGTGAGCAGGCCATTGCAGTAGTCTAGCCTGCTGGAGACAAATGCATGGACAAGAATCTCCAAGTCTGCCCTGGACACTATATTTCTAACTTTGGCAATGTTCTTCAGATGGTAAAAAGCTGTTGATGTTATTGATTTTATGTGGCTATTGAAATTTAGGTCTGAGTCCAGTATTACCCCCAAATTTCTGACCTTGTCTGAAGGAAGTAGGGAGAGAGACTGAAGTTGACAAATGACGCCCTCTCTTTGTTTCTGGGGACCAAAGACAATGATTTCGGTTTTGTCTGTATTTAGCTGGAGGAAATTATTTTGCATCCAGTCACTGATCTGTTGGATACAGTGAAGGAGCAAATCCAGTGGTCCATGTTCTCCTGCAGTCAGTGAGACATAGATCTGAGTGTCGTCAGCGTAATTGTGGTAGGACACTTTGTTTCTTTGTATTAACTGACCTAACGGCAGCATGTAGAGATTAAATAGGAGAGGTCCCAGGATCGACCCCTGTGGTACTCCACAGGTCAGGGCCACATCATCTGAGACGCAGTCTCCAATCTCCACAAAGTACTTCCTATCCTCCAGGTAAGACCTAAACCAGTCTAGGGCTGTGCCAGTGACACCAGCCCAGTCCTCCAGTCTCTGCATGAGGATCTCATGGTCGACGGTGTCGAACGCGGCACTAAGATCTAACATGACCAAAACTGTGACTTTACCTGCATCAGTGTGAAGTCGAATGTCGTTTGTTACCTTCACTAGAGCGGTCTCAGTGCTGTGGTGGGGTCTAAACCCAGACTGGAACATATCAAAAGAATTATTCATTGTTAAAAATTCAGTAAGTTGTTGGGAGGCCACTTTTTCAAGAATTTTTCCAATAAATGGCAGATTCGATATGGGGCGATAATTTTGAAGTCCCGCAGGATCCAGACTGCTCTTTTTTAGGAGAGGTCTTATGACTGCTGTTTTTAGGGCCATAGGAAATGTTCCTGACGACAGAGACATGTTTACTATTTGTGTCAGTGAAGGTAACAAACTGCTCAGGACGGACTTCAGAAATTTAGAGGGCAATATATCCAGGCTACATGTGGAGGAGCTCAGACTCATGATTATCTTTTTGACAGTTTCAGTATCCACAGGTGCAAAGTGAGTTAGCTCAAAAAGCTTCTCTGGCTGTTGCATTGTTATACGTGCTGTGGAGGTGATAGTGTTTTTGATTCCTTGTACTTTGTCATCGAAAAACTGTGCGAACTCATTACACCTAGATTTAGAGGAAAATTCTAGGGGCAACTTTACAGGGGGGTTCGTTAATCTACCAACTGTTGAAAACATAACACGAAAATTGTTACTGCAACCTCCAATAATGTCAGAAAAATACATTTCTCTTGTTCTACGTAGAACCCGGTTAAATTCACCCAACTCATCTTTAAAGATTTCATAATCGCCCTGGAAATTGGACTTTCGCCACTTCCGTTCGGCCCTCCGGCACTCTTGCTTCTGTGCCCTGACCGAGTCTGCCTTAGTCCATGGGGCCTTTTTCTTACTGGTAACTATTTTAACCGTCACAGGAGCAATGGCGTCCAGAACAGTCAGAACACTGGTGGTGACAGAGTTATACAATTCATCAACAGTAGAGCATGGAGTTTTCTCAAAATTTAGCATTCCCATGAACAGTTCACTTGTGTTTTCATGTATGTGTCTTCTTCTAACAGTTGTAAATTCAGCTGGTGGTTTGCTAGCAAAACACATGTCAAAAAATACACAGAAATGATCTTACAAAGCAACATCAACTACATTAACATTTGATACATTAACCCCCTTTGTAATTAGCAGGTCAAGAGTGTGCCCCCTGCTGTGGGTGGGGCCACTCACGTGCTGAATGAAACCAAAGGTCTCAAGTACAGAAGCCAGCTCCTTTGCATTTCTGTCATCAACATTATCAACATGTACATTAAAATCACCTGTAATAACTAAACTATCAAAATCTGTGCACACGAATGAAAGTAGTTCAGTAAAATGGTCAATAAAATCGCAACATGACTGTGGTGGCCTGT